GAATATAGGCAAACAACACAGGAATGCAGGGGCAAGATTAGAAAGGCAAAGGCACAAAATGAGCTCAGACTAGCTACAGGAATAAAGGGAAACAAGAAGACTTTTTATCAATACATTAGAAGCAAGAGGAAGACCAAAGACAGGGTAGGCCCACTGCTTAGTGAAGAGGGAGAAACAGTAACAGGAAACTTGGAAATGGCAGAGATGCTTAATGACTTCTTTGTTTCGGTGAAGTCTGAAGGAATGCCTAACATAGTGAATGCTAATGGGAAGGGGGTAGGTTTAGCAGATAAAATAAAAAAAGAACAAGTTAAAAATCACTTAGAAAAGTTAGATGCCTGCAAGTCACCAGGGCCTGATGAAATGCATCCTAGAATACTCAAGGAGCTAACAGAGGAGGTATCTGAGCTTCTAGCTATTATCTTTGGAAAATCATGGGAGACGGGAGAGATTCCAGAAGACTGGAAAAGGGCAAATATAGTGCCCATCTATAAAAAGGGAAATAAAAACAACCCAGGAAACTACAGACCAGTTAGTTTAACTTCTTTGCCAGGGAAGATAATGGAGCAAGTAATTAAGGAAATCATCTGAAAACACTTGGAAGGTGGTAAGGTGATAGGGAACAGCCAACATGGATTTGTAAAGAACAAATCATGTCAAACCAATCTGATAGCTTTCTTCTATAGGATAACGAGTCTTGTGGATAAGGGAGAAGCGGTGGATGTGGTATACCTAGACGTTAGTAAGGCATTTGATACAGTCTCGCATGATATTCTTATCGATAAACTAGGCAAATACAATTTAGATGGGGCTACTATAAGGTGGGTGCATAACTGGCTGGATAACCGTACTCAGAGAGTTGTTATTAATGGTTCCCAATCCTGCTGGAAAGGCATAACGAGTGGGGTTCCGCAGGGGTCTGTTTTGGGACCGGCTCTGTTCAATATCTTCATTAACGACTTAGATATTGGCATAGAAAGTATGCTTATTAAGTTTGCGGATGATACCAAACTGGGAGGGATTGCAACTGCTTTGGAGGACAGGGTCATAATTCAAAATGATCTGGACAAACTGGAGAAATGGTCTGAGTTAAACAGGATGAAGTTTAACAAAGACAAATGCAAAGTGCTCAACTTAGGAAGAAAAAATCAGTTTCACACATACAGAATGGGAAGAGACTGTCTAGGAAGGAGTACGGCAGAAAGGGATCTAGGGGTTATAGTGGACCACAAGCTAAATATGAGTCAACAGTGTGATGCTGTTGCAAAAAAAGCAAACATGATTCTGGGATGTATTAACAGGTGTGTTGTGAGCAAGATACGAGAAGTCATTCTTCCGCTCTACTCTGCTCTGGTTAGGCCTCAGCTGGAGTCTTGTGTCCAGTTCTGGGCACCGCATTTCAAGAAAGATGTGGAGAAATTGGAAAGGGTCCAGAGAAGAGCAACAAGAATGATTAAAGGTCTTGAGAACATGACCTATGAAGGAAGACTGAAAGAATTGGGTTTGTTTAGTTTGGAAAAGAGAAGACTGAGAGGGGACACGATAGCAGTTTTCAGGTATCTAAAAGGGTGTCATAAGGAGGAGGGAGAAAACTTGTTCACCTTAGCCTCTAAGGATAGAACAAGAAGCAATGGGCTTAAACTGCAGCAAGGGAGGTCTAGGTTGGACATTAGGAAAAAGTTCCTAACTGTCAGGGTGGTTAAACATTGAAATAAATTGCCTAGGGAGGTTGTGGAATCTCCATCTCTGGAGATATTTAAGAGTAGTTTAGATAAATGTCTATCAGGGATGGTCAAGACAGTATTTGGTCCTGCCATGCGGGCAGGGGACTGGACTCGATGACCTCTCGAGGTCCCTTCCAGTCCTAGAATCTATGAATCTATGAATCTATAAGATTTAAACAAACAGGACACACATCCTCACGTGTTTCTCCTACCCCCAGACAAATAATCTTTAACAATTCAATATTTAATAAGTTATGGAGCAAGAGAAGTCATTGGTTTCACCACTCATGTAGATCTGCGGCCATGTTCTAGCTCTGAGGAAGAATTTATCTGGTTGATTCACTTGTATTATCAAATCTCAAATGATGCAGACTTCTGTTCAATAGATTTAAGACTCTTCCTACACAGGATTCTCTCACTTTACTGTTTGGTGTGAGTACCAGTATTACTAGGAGTCTGGTGGCACCTTAAAGACTAACAGATTTATTTGGGCATAAGCTTTCGTGATTTTTACCCACGAAAGCTTATGCCCAAATAAATCTGTTAGTCTTTAAGGTGCCACCAGACGCCTTGTTGTTTTTGTAGATACAGACTAACACGGCTACCCCCTGATACTTAGTATTACTAGGGTCACATGACAACTCCTCGGGGTTGGATTCAGCTGAAGCTGTTGCCTGTTTCTTCTGTTCAGAGTTCCTTGACCATGCAAGACCTCTGGGTGCAGCTATGTCCACTAAGTTGTTCAATATTACCAAAACAGAGTCTTCTTTATGAAGCTTAGGATGGCATTCCAATAAAGTAGAAAGCATTTTTAGACCTTTTAAATTTGTAGTCACTCAGTAGTCCTTTAGAAGGATCATTCAGGGTGAAAATGTACTTCTAAGTTCAGCATGGTTCTGATCTGTTGACTCATTAACAGGTGAGTTAGGATTACGCCAAGGTCTGTGTGAGGGGTTGCCTTTTAGCTCAGAAAAGCTAGTATGAAGTCTTTTGATAGTAGAATTCTCTCAGCAACCTGCACTGCTCTCTCCACCAGTTCATTCCCTTGTGTACAGTGAGGGCTTAAAATTAACGTATGTGAAATTGTACCTATCATAAAAGCTTGGAAATCAGCACTGGGAAACTGTGGCTCAGTGTGAGTGGCTATTGGTTCTGAAATGCCAGAAAGAGACGAAAGTTAAAAGATATCGTCTTTTGACTTGTTGTCATATGGGTTAAATGAGAAGTAGAATTTCTGCCAAGAAAATTAGTCAAGGGATACCATGTAGGTATGATCCTTGTTAGGCAGGTCTAGTGCTATTTACTTCACCCATCCAAGACATAATGGGTAGTATCCTGTGGATATGAGAGATTTTTTAAGTTGTGGCTATTACTCAAGCATCCATGATTCCACCTTGTATTCTAGGTCCTGCCCTATTGTGGACCACCACACTGACATTTGAGCTCACTCCCATCATTTTGTGAGACCTTCTTTTCTCAACATGTATCATTTCCAATACGTTGTCCTGCAAAGACTGAGCGACTATGATATAATTGCCACAGGTAATTGGATTTTGAGCTTTGGTGATTTCCCCTCTCCTTGTAACAGTCACATGTTGGATGTGGGACTCCTGATTATTAACCAGGCCACCTATCTTGGATACCTTTTGCTGCTGTGTGTTAGCACTTGTGGCTATTTCAGTTTGTTTGAATTTGTGCGGACCGTGTAGCAAAGAAATGCCACTCAAAAATTGCACCCACATAATCATCTTCAGCTTCTGGAAAATTTTGGTGGCCAACAGGACTTCTCAATAAGGTGTCATCCAGCTCAAAGGATTTCCCTGGCACATATTTTGCAATAGGTTAATATCTCAAATGCATGAACATTCCCTGCCATCTAATGGGAACCTTATCTAGATTTTTACTGTTTGTGACTGGCATGAGTGGCTTGAGGAATCACTAACTCAACATTTTCAAGACCTAGCACATATCCTGTGAACGTCTCACATTCACATATGCTCAAATATCTGCTATTTTATTTTAGTCTAGCAGCATCACTTGCCTTCAGACCTTGTTTTTCCTTATGTTATGTTCTTCCACTGACTGGCCATAAACTAAACTGTCACCCACAAAACTCTGCACTCCCTCCAGGCCTCACAGAATCTTGATTTCCTCCCCCCCTTTAAAAGATTTCTGGGGCGCCAGTGATGCATAATGCAAAACAAAAGTAATATCTTCTGAATGGCTTTATAAAAGTTGTCAGCTTGGTATTGCCAGTGACAAGTGAAACTAGCCAAAATCCACTATTTGGATCTAGTGTGGAGAATATTTATGCAGATTCAGAAAGAACTCAAACATCTGATACTATTTCACTGGACAATAGTTTAAAAAAATCAAGAGTCACTTTCTTCTAACAGTGAATAAGGAACTTTATTGGAATAAGGGAAATCAGTATTGTCCCTTGTCCCTAAAGCTACTCTGTGATTCTTTCTCTGTTTCTCCACAGGGCTTCCGCCTAGAATCATCCCTAGCCCCCCAGTGCCCCTGGCTTCCTTCCACAGATTTAAAGAAACAGTAAATATATCCTTACATATCTGCTATGCAAAATCTAACAACTGAATAAAGAATTAAAGATCTGATTGCATTCTGAAGCAGTCTCTTTGTTCCGGTATTTATCAGGATATCATCAGACTCCCAGATGTGCATGTAGCACTACAGCTCAGTAACCTGCTATTTGTAGTTCTCTAGTATTTCCATAATACAACTGTATTTCATATTTGGGAATTGCATGTAGACGTGATAATCACATTTGTATTCAAGAAAGTGAATACTGTAATTATAGTCCCCAGTATGGGTGCCTATCCAACTTCCCATATTTAATATTTCCTCAGACAAAAACCCAAATACAGACAGATTCGCATATAGAGTAGGAACGATCTGCTAATCACTTTAAGCTGTATACAAACATTATGCACCAAATGGTTAGTGATAGTGCTGTGAACAGTTCTGTATTATTCCCAATTACATATGGCCAAATTCTGCCCTAAGGCTTCTCATGTGCATGCAATATAGTTTCATTGCCTGGAGTCAGTGGGAACATTTCACATGGGTCCAAGTAAAATTTGCCCATTATTTAGCTGTAACTGAAAAAAATTAATCTTGGAAAACTCAGCACAAATTTTGTAGAATGAAATGGAATATCCTACACCACTCTAATTGCAATAGACATCAGCATGTTAGCTTTACATCCCAAAGCATGTTTACAATTGCAGAGTATTAGCACTCTGGCCTTCTGACCTGTCTGGAGTTCGCCTCTTCCCGTTTTCGTTCACATCGAGAAGCAGCTCTGAGGAGTCAACAGGTGAGGTGGTGCTGGCATCCAGAAGCAGCTGTTCATGCTGAGCGAGGTACTGGGCGGGATTCTGCTTGGCCAGCCTTGCACAGTGCAGGAGCTCCCGCTGCAGCAGGGGCAGATTGGCCTGTAAGAGTGTTTCAGAAATTAAGGGAGCAGCTGAACGACTCTCAGGCAGTTTCACAAAGATGAAGTAGCAAAATTAGAAATCAATTAAAAGCCCACTATTTCGTTCATCTTGACTTATATTTATTTTAGTTAGCTGTGTTAAACCATATAGCCTCATTAGAGGTTTGAGTCACGGCTGAAATACATGTGTGTGCACACATGAGAATGGAAGAGTTTATTTGCTGAACCATAAAACAAAACTGAAAATGCTACAAGAAAAAAAAAAAAAAAAAACACAATCTTCAGGTCCTAATCTTTAAAGAGCGGCAAGAGCACAGCACTAGCTCACTTTATCTCCTTTCTTGTTATTATACAATATTTGTGTTTCTCTACAGCTGCTGTCTTTACATGCAAAACAACTCCCCTATGTAAATTTAGTATTCAGATTGCAAAGTACTAACTTTCATTTTTTCTTGACTTAAGGATGAACACCCAATTCTAACTCGGCACATGTTTATGCATTAGCTACAGTATTTAGTTATGTTATCACATACTACAGAAGTTATCAAATACTACATATTTTTTCTACACTCTCAAATACACATACAATCTTAAAACATGTGAACAGATTATTAAAGATTTTAGAGTAATGCAAGAGTGCAATGAGACAAAGTTACATGTATGTTGTTGAACCTAACTTTTTTGTGACTTTTAAACAATTAATTACTGCTATAAAAGTTCATTTTTAAATGGAAAAGTATTTTTAAATCATAGAATCATAGGACTGGAAGGGACCTCGAGAGATCATTTAGTCCAGTCCCTTGCACTCATGGCAGGACTAAGTATTATCTAGACCATCCCTGACAGGTGTTCATCTAACCTGCTCTTAAAAATCTCCAGTGATGGAGATTCCATAACCTCCGTAGGCAATTTATTCCAGTGCTTAACCACCCTGACAGTTAGGAAGTTTTTCCTAATGTACAACCTAAACCTCCCTTACTGCAATTTAAGCCCATTGCTTCTTGTCCTGTGCTCAGCGTTTAAGAAGAACAACTTTTCTCCCTCTTCCTTATAACAACCTTTTATGTACTTGAAAACTTATCATGGCTCCTCTCAGTCTTCTCTTTTCCAGACTAAACAAACCCAATTTTTTCAATCTTCCCTCATAGGTCATGTTTTCTAGACCTTTAATCATTTTTGTTGCTCTTCTCTGGACTTTCTCCAATTTGTCCACATCTTTCTGGAAATGTGGTGCCCAGAACTGGGAGGCCTAATCAGTGCAGAGTAGAGCGGAAGAATTACTTCTCATGTCTTGCTTACAACACTCCTGCTAATACATCCCAGAATGATGTTCGCTTTTTTTGCAACAGTGTTACACTGTTGACTCATATTTATCTTGTGATCCACTATGACCCCAAGATCCCTTTCCGCAGTACGCCTTCCTAGGCAGTCATTTCCCATTTTGTATGTGTGCAACCGATTGTTCCTTCCTAAGTGGAGTACTTTGCGTTTGTCCTTATTGAATATCATCTTATTTACTTCAGACCATTTCTCCAGTTTGTCCAGATCATTTTGAATTATAATCCTATCCTCCAAAGCACTTGAAACCTCTCCCAGCTTGGTATCGTCCACAAACTCAAAATGGCTGAGAAGGAATTGCTCCATCTTTAAAAAGAAATTAACCTTTTGAGATAGACCAAGCATGGAACACTTCAGCCCAAAATGTTTTGGAAAGTTTCAAACACATGAGAAAGAGGTTATAAGAGAAAATGCTTTGCCACCTTAGTTAAATCATATGACACCAGGCACCAATTATCATATCCTGGTGATCAAAAGATGTACCACGTACCAAACAAATAGGTATGGACCATCATCACAATTCTAGCTACAGCCTTTCTGTATTTAAAAAAATATAACATTCTTCTCAGGGACTAAGGGTGCATCTATACAGCAAGAAGAACCAAAAACCAAAAGCGGCAGTAAGTCTCAGAGCTCGGGTCAGCTGACTCGGGCATGTAGGCTTGGGCTATGGAGCTAAGAACAGCAGTGTAGACATTCGAGCTCAGGCTGGAGCCTGGGCTCTGAGACCTTCCAACCTGGCAGGCTACTCTGCTATTTTTAGCCCTGCAGCAGGAGCCTGAGTCAGTTGACCCAGGCTCTGAGATTCACTGCTGCGGGTTAATTTTTTGCTGTAGACATATACTTAGAAGCATAATTTGCTATTGGAAATAAACAGCCAGTGCTACCACTTAGTCTACAGGCCCTCAAGAGAGTTAGAAAGACATTGCTGTAGAACTTTAGGACTCTAAAAGTTCATAGAACCTTTTCAACATTGTATTTTGTGAAAGTGAACAAAACATAAGCCTATCTATATTAACTATTAATAAGATGCCTACTATCTAATAGATATCATTCCAATTTTGCTGGCAGTGGCAACCACCACAACTGGGATAGGGGGGAGAAGGGGCTTTAAGAGCTCTTCACACATCAGAATAAAATTGGTCCAGCTAGCTGCCTGACTTGATGGAGGGACGCAGTGAAACTAACAATGCAAAGAGAATTATACATATATAAAATTCTGAGAAATTGTAGGGTCAGAACCTGGATTACAATACTGCCATACAATTATATAGTGCTTTTCATCTTCAGTACTGTATGAACTTAAATTAACCCCAAAAACTCCCATCTGAGGTAGGAATGTAGCAACATACCCATTTCACAGATGAGAAAAGTGGAGAACAGATTCATATGATTTATTCAGGGCCACAGACAGAGAGAATCAGTATTAGTACTCATAAATTCCTGGCTCCTAACTCCCTGCTTAAACCTTACAGGTAGGTGCCAACTTTTTTAACTAGGTTATTCTGTGGGATCAACAAAGCTGCCACTTAATATAGTAGTGTGCTCAGATACTATGGTAACAGGTGAACCTATGAAGCGATAAGATACAGAAACGAAGTCATGGTCCAATGTATCACAAATTGCACTAACAAAAAAAATCACTGAGCTTTACGTAAAGAAATAAAAGAACTGAGTGGACTTGTCTAAAAAAATCATTGCTTTGAATTTTTCATTTACAATTTTGTTTTGTCGCTTTTTACTTTGTTTCCCAAACCTCAGTGAAGTCTCATCTGATCTTAAATGCTCCAAGAAGATTTAAAAAATTTATTAAAGTTAATGTTTAAAATTAAATATACACAAGTTAAGAGAGAAGGTACTGTACATCTGGGGTCAGGCTTGAGTTATGAGGGATTACAGATATCGCTTACAAGGATCACAAGATACATACATATCACATAACCAACATAGACCCAGATTGGGGTGCGGGAGTTTTTAAAGCGTCAGTGGATAAGTGGGCTCGGGTATGCCACCCATGGAATGTATTAAGAGTCCAAGTCAGTATCAGTGTGGTGAATAAGTACATAGGTGGGGTGCGTCCCTTGGTTCATCAGGGAAGAAAGTGGATTGTCTATTTTCAGACCAAATAATCTGTCACCCAGATATGGAACACTAATACTAAGGTAATTTTATCACTTAACTTATTATGAAGGAGGCTTTTTAATGTAAGTGGGTACAAATAGGTATAAACTGGACATGAATAAATTCAAGTTGGAAACTAGAAAAAGGTTCTAACAGTCAAAGGAGTGAGGTTCTGCAACAACCTTCCAATAGGAGTAGGGGGGAGGGGAAAGTCAACCTAACTAGTTTTAAGAAGGTGCTTGATCCATTTATCATGGGGTTGCCTTTGATAGCAGGGGATTGGACTCAACATCCCAGGTAGGGTGACCACCCTTCTCTAATTGGGCAGAACAGTCCCGAAATGTACATTTCAAGTCCTGGTCCCAGGCTGAATGACTCTGGGACAGCATTTGTCCTGGATTCCCTGTGGCGCCGCTCTATGCCTGCCTCAGGTAGGGCTGAGGTGGGCCTTAGTCCCCCTTGCCACGAGGCCCCTCCCCCTGCTCCTCCTCTTTCCCCAAAATATGAGCCAGGCAGTAGTAAGAGCCGACCAGGGAGCCTGGGCCACTGTGGGGAGCCTCAGAGTCTCAAACCCTCCACCTGCCCTGAACGGCGTGCACCGGAGGAGGGGGCACGGGCTGGGAGCTGTTCTTGGGCCCTCCACCCAGGGCAGGTGGAGAGTCCGGGGCTCCCCAAAGTAGTCTGGCTCCCTGGACAGCTTTTACCACTGCCCAGCTCCGGCTTCCAACCTGGCCAAGGGACAGGGCCTCAGGTGGAAGAGAGCATCCAGGTGTGGGTTAGCCAGTTACCTGTGGATATTTTGGTGGCATTCAAGGGTAGACTATGCCCACTTCAGCCCCTTGCTGGGCGATGAGAAAGCATACAAAGAGAGCAAATTGAAGGCCCAATTCTGCCACCCTTGCTTCATATTAAATAGCACTCTCATATGAGCAAGAGTGGTAGAATCACACCCACACAAAACCATACTCCGTTAGCCCGAGTAGGAGAGAATGCTTTGCACCACTCAACAAACAGCCCCTCCAAGACCATCTGGTCTTCTTCCTGCCATGATGGCTGCAATGCACTGCCTCAGGGAAGCATGAGTTAAAGCAGTGGGTGGTGGGAGGAGGGAACAATCACAGTCTCCTCAGGGCTCTGTAAAGGATGTTGAGGGCCTTTGCTTTGCGGGGAGGAGGATGGAAGAAGGAAGACAAGGAAAAAACCCACAGCAGTAAACCCTTCACATAAATAAGCTCATTAAAGCTACCCTCATTTAAACTCGTTATGAACACACACAGTGCACACTCCTTTTCAATAACCATCTCAAATGGCAAAGATAAAGGTTGGTGGGAGGACTTAATGCCTTGTCCCAACATGT